TTTTGGTAGTAGAACTCCTTAATATCCATCATTAGTATAAATTTCATTGATAAACGTTGCTTCTTTGCCGAGATAAGGGGCACAGAAGACGAAAAAATGAAATTCCGTAACATTTGGCCAAGCCGTATGCGCATTACGTAGACCCAGGTCAGAAAATCCTACTAAGATCTAATCAGTTCCTATTGGATCCTGTGACATGCAGGATATGATAGGATTCCTGTTATACGATCCTATAAAATCATATTATATCCAAGAATAGGTCTACACAAGATTCTGATTGTAGGACTGTGTGGCATTTCCCATATGAGCCTACAACAAGATCCTACATAATCGGATCACAATAATCCTGTAAAATCCAATAATAGGATAGCACAGAATATTGTAAAATTCCTTATCAACTCAGTGTAGGCTAGTAGTATACAATTACTAGTTGATTAAGTAGTTGTTCACTATCAATTTGGGGTTTTTCTTGGCTAAACGAGTATGATAAGCGTCTTTTGATTTGTTTTTGTTTTCTGTCTTCCTCATCAGTGAGAACCTGCACTGTAGCACTACAAATCTGCGCCAATCACTGGCTGTTACCGATTATATAGTCCATAGAAACAAGCACAAGTCGGGGATTTTCGCGTAGACTTTTTATTTTACTTTAAGCGTTGACACATGATTTTTAGCTGTTTAGCGTGTGGAGAAGGAATCTGGGGCTCTTTTATAATTGTAAGCACATTAATCTGCCTACAGATCTCCTATCAGTGCTGTCGTGGGCTAACCTCACTTTTTAAGCTTTGACTTTCGTTTCACAGGATTCAAGCTTACGATCTATTTCAAGCAGCCCATAAAAACAAAAAAACTGACCGCTATGCAGCACCTTGCTGCTTTTTGCTGCGGTTCGCTTGCTTTCGTTATATATATTTCTCGTTGCTTTTGTCGTAAAGAAAATGTTTTCTGTTGTACAGTTTAGTGTTACGTTTTTTTCGAAGTATAGAGTTTTTTGTTCATTGGAAAAGATTTGGTTCTTCGTATGCATCAGAAAAGAACGTTGCATGAAAAATAAAGAAAACACAGCAAATTCAGACAAAGCATGATATGGAACAGAAGGACGATCGCTTCATGAAAAGTTAAGCTACTGGTCAAGCTTTCAAATAACCAGATGATATCCTGTAAAATCCTGTAGGATCCTACAGGATACCATTCAGTCCTATTGTAGGATTGTGTAGGATCCTATAAGATCCGATTGTAGGAATCCTACAAGATTTCAGCGCTAAGATTGCGTAGGAATTTCCTATAAGGTCCTATCGGATTTTCATAGGATCATATCCGATCCTACAAGATCCAATAATAGGATCCTATAAGATCTTTTAGGATCCAATTAAGATCCTATCGTAGGATTCATTGACTTTGGTAGTCAAAGAAAATGACAAAAGGCTATAATGATAACAGAAAGAGAAAAAGATAGAACAAGAATAGTGAATTATAACTACTGATAGAATCTGTGTAATACAGACTGATAGTGATCAGTAGGAAAAAACTTGTTATACATTGGCTTAGGGTATAGCAGTCCAGTTAACGGGCAAGACAGTGCAGAAGTTTTTACCTGCATTCTTGTCTGTGCAAGACAAAACGTGTTTTTCTAACCTGCAAACTGCAGCGCAGATAAATTTTATTTTATTTTGCAAAAATTAAGCAGGTGATCAGCTCTCTGATGAATAACCACAAGGTTTTGCACAAGTAAGACTATGTACTCTTCCGCTGCATATCAACGTTCGCAATTATTTTGCTGTTAATTAGAGTTATCTCATGTTTCTTCGATGTTCATTCTTCGTTGGTGAATAGATCAAACTGGAAGTTCTACTCTTGATTGAATGAATATTTTTTCTAATAGATATGATTTTTGGCACTGAGGCACAACAAGCACGTTTGTTTGATTTCAGACTATTAGACTTTTACTTGAAAAACACTGACTTATTTCATATAATCCGTTTTTTCCGCGAAGAAAAAAAGTAAATATCAGCAATGGAAACAATAGTAGGTAGCATCCTTCCCGGGTAAACAACCGTCCTAAGTTTGAAACATCGGTAGCGAATTGAATCCAGAAATTTCGGTTTCAACGGTCCCGAATTGTTCGTATCGAACAGAGCAGAGGTCTTTTTTTCTTTGAGATAAATACGTGTTTGTCGTTTTAGCTGTTACAATCGTTCATACAGCTGCTGTTTATGTGCCTTTTCGACGTTACGATTTCGGTTTACACTGGCCTCAACATCCTGCTTGCTACGCAAAGAAATTTTTTTCTTTGAAATGCATTCTTTTCGGCCAGGGATATTACTAAACAGACCTTAACACCAGATATGTACAATATTGATTCACAGGTGAACTTTTTTACTTTATTTTCGTTACTTACCCTGCATTTTCTGTCCTTAATGACTTTAAACTATGGGTCTGCAATTGACCAAAAATATAGGTTGACGATGTTTGGGTATGAATATGGTAAGATTATGGTTCAGGGTATGGCTCCTGGCATAGGAGATGACCTCAAAAGGTGGATGAACTTCCTGGAGTGGTCAATGGTATTAGCTTAGACATTGGGGAACAGCAATGTCTAATAGACTATCGATGCGGGTTTTGGAACAATCTGATGAATTTATCGCTCGACAGAATGAGGATAGGGCAAGTGTCTAGCCTAACTTCAGAAAGACCTATCCATTGAATAACTCAGATAAGTTGGTCGCTGTCTGAGTGAAAACTGACCAATAAAGATCATATAGGGCTAATTTCCCATATGGTGCCAATGATTTAATTGCTCAGTGGTCAAATAATGATTATGAAAATCACAGAATCAACCAGAATTACTCGCTCAAGAGCAGCATTGCAACAACATCTAAATGATGTAATGATGATGGAACATGGGGAAACCGAAAAGGCTCATGCTACTGATAAAGCAAGAAGCTCAAGAGCAAAATTGAAACCAATAAAAGACGTGCTGACGATTGTAACTACAATGTCAGAACTCTAAACAAATACAAGTTCGAACAACTCATAGTAGGCTGTAAAGAATAAGATGTAGATATTGTCGCTATACAAGAACATAGACAAAGATCTAAAGATACAGAGATTGAATATAGATATTCGGATGGTGGCGAATGGCTGCCAGGATTGGCATCAGCAACGGAAGAAGGAAATGGCGGTGTTGGACTATTAATGAAGACCAAGTATAAAGAATTGCTAACGAACATTGAAAGAGTCAATGATAGAATCATAGTTGCTTATTTCTTAGGCAATCCAGCTTTGACAATTCTATCAGCGTATGCTCCGACCTATATGGCAAACGGCGATGAAAAGAGTGCGTTTTATGATGCTCTATCAGATTGTATCAAGTCTATACCAAAGCACAATGTAAAATTGGTATTAGCTGATATGAATGCCAGAATTGGAAGAGATATGTCATCTAGAACAATTGGATCATCGTTGTACCATGATAAAACAAATGACAATGGAGAGAGGTTGATTGAATTATGTGAAACGTGTGACATGCGAGAAATACAATCAAAGTTTAGACATCGTCAAGGACGACTGTGGACGTGGAGACATACATCTGGTCAAACCGCACAGTTAGATCATATCCTTGTCAACTCAAAATGGCGTAATTCGATTCGTAATTGTAGGGCTTACAACACAATGAACGTTGACTCAGATCATCGAGTTGTGTGCTATAAATTCAAATTACGATTAAGAGCTACAAAGAAATGTAGTGTCACACAGTCATTACAACTATGCAAGTCCAAAGAATGATATGGTAAAAGAGAGATTCAACATGGTGCCAGCGAATAGATCTGAAGCTCTTCAAAATGTCAGAGCAAATGATCAACCCAATTTGGATGAAGGTGAGAAGATCAAGATCCAGAACTGTTATGATACGCTGATTGAAAGTATAGATGCTACAGCAACTGAGGTGCTGGGACGCAAGAAAAAGATCAGTAAGAAAATCTGGCTTAAAGAAAGAACAATCATGCTGATGAAAGAACGGGATAATGCAAAATTGTTCTATGAACGTACTAGAACAGCAGATAACCGCTCTAAATGGAAAGAACTCTCCTCAAAAGTTGAACAGGAATGCAAGAAGGATGAAACGGAGTATCCCAAAGAGAAAATATCTGATTTGAATACAGCGTTCAAACGACATAAGATCACAGATGTGTGAAAAATAGTTAACGATTTAAATGGCAAGAACGTAAAGAAGGTAAAGGACAAGAATGGAAAACCAACTAAAAACATAGAGAGTCTATCGAATGAATGGATGGAGTACTTCGAGAGGCTACTAAATAACACAACAAACACCACCGATCAAGATCTACCGTTACCAAATAAGAATGATCTGCCAATTGAAAGTGGACCCATAGAAAAGAAGGAGGTTGAGATAGCCATTGACTCAATGAAGAGTGGTAAAGCGCCTGGAATCGATTCAGTTATTACAACTGAACTTTTAAAAAATGGTGGAGATTTCATCAAACTACAGCTATACAACATTTGCTCTAAAGTTTATGAGTCGAGTACACATATTGAGAAGAATTTTGGAGGGATGTCATAAAAAGAATCCACCATTTGTTGCAACATTTGTGGACTTCAAGAAAGCATTTGATTCCATACATCGTGTTATGATATTTAATATCCTTCGAAATTATGGAATCCCGCAAAAAATAGTAGATGCAATTAGGTTATTACACGATACATCCATAGGTAGCGTACTAGTAGATGGACGGTTAACGAAAGAATTTAGAATATCTCTCGGAGTATTACAAGGTGATGTCCTAGCACCATTTCTTTTCATTATTGTCATCGACTATATAATGAGAAGATGTGAGATGGACAACTATGGGTTTATATGTGAAAAAAGGACATTTGCAAGACATTTGGAAAAGAGATTAAGTGACTTGGATTATGCAGATGACATATGCCTTTTAGAAAATTCTATTCAGGAAGCGCAACAACAACTAGATGTTCTTAATTCGAATGCTATAAGAATTGGTCTAGAAATAAACATTACTAAAACGGAATACATCACTAATGTGAATGCTGCTGACACATTAAAGGTAAATGGTGTTGATCTTGGAAGGGTGCAGGATTTTAAATATCTGGAAGCACACATGAAATCATCAGAAAAGGACGTAAACATAAGAATCGGACAAGCATGGTCAGTTTTTTGGAAACTGGAAAAATCTGGATAAGTAATCATCTGCCAGGTGCCATCAAAGTTAATCTGTTTCAGTCATCGTGCCTATTCATTCTGCTATACGGCAGTGAAACATGGTTTATAACGGAAAAGATGAAACGCAAACTAAATAGTTTCGCAAGTAGCTGTTATAGAATAATGCTTGGGATCAGGCGTAGCGATCATATTTCCAATGCCACCATATACAACAGACTAGGTGTGGACAAGTTGATAAAGACAATTGTTAAAAGACAGCTCGAATGGATAGGACATATTTGTAGAAGTCCAGATGCTGAGCCTTTGAGGAAATTTGGCTTCTGTCAACCATTGCATGGTACAAACAATCTAGGAAAGCAACCCCAGGACTATCTTGGTTATGTGTTCAACTTGCTAAATAATGGTATTTGCGATAAGAAGTATTGGAAAGTGATGGACATTGTAAATGATGCTAAGAGTAAGCACAAATGGAAGAAGATTGTGGTCGCCTGCTCCAGAGCAACCGAGTGATGATGATGATGACCCTGCATTTTGTTCCCTTTAGGGCATCGGTTCAGCAACTGATATGGCTATTCGAGAAAAAATACCAGTATTAAAAGTAAAAGCTGGTAACAACGATGTTACTGTAACGTTCCTTCTCCAGACTGTCGGTATTGTTGCGACGTGTAATATTTGAAATGTGGAAAACTTATTACGTGCTATATTTTACCCGATTCATTCTCAGCACTTCAACATCAGCGCTTTAGAGATCAGTCTTATCAACTTTCGATTGTTTTTTTCTCATCCTTCTGTAACAAGGTTAGGAAAAACATGCATCGGTTATATGAATAGTAAAATTAATTATACATTAATTATTTTTGTACATTAATTATGAGTAGAGTTAAAAAGTGATATTACAGGAGAAACATCATACCAGTATATATATACCTTTAGTTTGTTTTATTTCAATTTTCTGTTCACGTTAATGAACGCAGAAACTCAGTTTTTTTTAATTAAACTAACACATACGGTGCAAGTGAAGTTCAAGCATATTTACTAGTAAAGATGTTCAACCTATTGTTTGCTTTTTCTCACAAATACGTGTAGCTGAATTAATTATTTTTTTTGTATTTTTCTCAGCGTTTACTGTACAGTGTACACTAAATACGGTTAACCTAGGGCGAGCATGTTTATGCTTCTGCGCATTTTTCGAAATCCACACGAAATCTCTTTACACTGTGTCCACCGTGCGAAGAAAACGACGGTGTAAACTTCCCCCATGACGTTGTTCTCTCGAACACCTCGTGAGCTTTCACGCAACAGAGGGTATAAACATAGATGTCGCACACCTGCAGTGAATTATAGACATTGCGTACATTTTAAGGATCATCATTATTGTATTATTTTGAATGAAAGTTCAAAAGCCATTATTCAAAATTTTACACCGATAACAAAAAGGTTTTTAAAGTAGTTCTTGCTCATGTGCACCAAAGCGTATTACTGTGTAAAGGATTTAGCCCCGTGTTTGATTGGCTGTTCAAATGACATATGAATTTTCAGCTATTACATAAATGACGCACTTGAAGTACGGAAGGTACATTGTATTTACTTTTCATTATCAAATCATCTGCAATGCTAAATTTGTTTTATGTGCTTTAGATCTCTCTAATTCTTCTCTACTATCCAAAGAAAATGATTGATTTTAAGTTATCAATATTTAAAACATTTAAAATCTGATTCAACGTTAGAATATCTCGTATGACGTAATCATTTTTATGAACAACATTTTTGAGCGATATAAAAACAAAATTATACAATTTCTATCCACAATCGGCAAGTGTGAACCTTAAGTTTTATTATAAAATAGACGATACGAGAGAAAGGAATTCTTATTGACAGAAACGGTGTTTAAGAAAAAAGGACGCGGGTCGATAAGAGGCAAAATCGGTCCTAACACTAGAAATACTAGCCCCAATCTACAGAAATCCATAGGTCAACAGCGTTCATCGTTTATATTGTTCAGCCATTTTCCCGTTAACCACTCCACTTTTTATATCATTCAATAGAGAATTTCACGGCTACAAAATGAGCTATAACAAGTTATTTTAGAAGTGTGTCTTTGTAAATATATCCGACAAATACTTGACATATATCTCGATTTTTTTCCTGTAGTGACACATAAAAAGGATTATAGTTTCTTCTACAGACAGATTAGGTACAATTTGTATGTAGAAAGATGCAGAATTGAATGGGCTACAGAATGAAGTATAACTATTCTTTTAAATTGTAAGTTTGTTAGACTTATGGGGAAGAAAAAAAAGACATATTTTGCGTGTTTTTCGACCAATTTTGCAGACATAGGGCTTTTGTTAAATTGAATGCTGTTTGATGAAACAGTATCGTAGAGAGCTCCGAAAACAAAAGGTAGAAAATGTTGATAGTGGTAACAACATCCCAGTCAAAAAAAAATATCAAGAGGAGTATCATGGAGCACTCTTTTTGGAAAAAAAGGAAAGCAGTACTCTTTTTCTCAGAAAGAGTGCTCCAACTTAAAAGCAGTACTCCAAAAGCTACAACGGAGTAGCCACAAAAAAATGAGTACTTCTGAGTGCTGCTTTCTTTGACGTGCTCCGCAGTACATCAGCTGCACTTTATAAAAAGGAGTACTCATGAGTACTTCGAATAAGACTTATAGAATTATCACTTATTAGGCGTACTCATGATTTGGAGTGCTTCGAAGCACTCCTTTTTATAAAGTGCAGCTGATGTACTGCGGAGCACGTCAAAAACAGCAGCACTCAGGAGTACTCATTTTTTTGTGGGTACTCCGTTGTAGCTTTTGGAGTACTCCTTTTGATTTGGAGTGCTCCATGATGCTCCTCTTGATATGTTTTTTTGACTGGGATGTTTGAAAATATGTGATGAAAACAGTGTGATCTATTGTCTGTTGGTTATTTAAATGAAGTTTTTCATCTAGTTAACTCTATTTTTCGGCATTATCACTGAAAACATATTAATGCCTAAAATTCGCATTTTTTTAACGGCCAAGAAACAGACCGAAAACAAGCATGTAATAGTGACTAGTCATGCACAAGTTAAAACCTGGTGTTAGGACATACAGGAAAACTGCTATAATCTGATTATGAAGAATCGATAAGAGTTGTGAAATCTCTCATTTTGTCGAAAGATGTTTTCTCTGCAAACTTCAGTTGTTAAAAGAAATTTAAATGTGTTTTGAACAAGAATATGATCATTTTAAGATGTGGTAAATCATGGGAAAAACTGTTCGAACAGTTCTTTTTACACGATTTAATGCATTTTAGAATGTTCACATTTCTGTTACAAATAGCCTCGAAACTTTTTAAGATTTCAGCATCGTAGATCAAACATTTCTTTACAAAATGAGAGGTTCCACAACTCTTATCGATTCTTCATAATCAGATTATAGCAGTTTTCCTGTATGCCCTAAAGCCAGTTTTTAACTGGTGCATACCTAATAGTAACCGTTTAATGGCCATTTTTGTGTAATTACTGGCTGTTTATTATCAAGGACCCGACTGCTGATCATGGCTAATTTCTTTCTTACCACTACCAAGAAACATGACTTTTCAAATTTTTTAATATTTTTGGTTCCAAGGTATGATCAGTGTTATCACTGCTAGCTATTCCTTAACAGAAGTTTCGATGACTTAAATAGCCGAGCAAGAACAAAACTATACGTTTTCTATGAGAAAACAAAGGAAGTATATAGTAGTGAGATCAGAGAAACAAGGTAGATTAAACGGCAAACGTTAAATGTTCATTTTTTGCGTTTGTGTAAGGCGCTCCAAATTCGAAGTTACAGTGAAATTCGCAATCCACTCTTGTGGCATATCCCTAGACGCAGAATTTTACGCTGATTCAGAATATCACCTTTAAAATTCGATTAACTTGCGTCTTCGTTGAGAAAAGCGGAAAAAACGAAAAAACGTGTTTTTTTGCCAAAAACGGCTAATTTTGTAAAAGTCACTTTATATTTTGTTACAACGACTATTTGGAACCTTCAGAGTTAGTTATTCTGACTCATCGTGAAAAACTGCATCGATCTACGTAAGTTTTAAAATTTTCCAATGAATAAAAGTGATCCACAAATCCACACGGATCGATATAATAATGCGTTTTACATCGACCCTGGAAAAATGCCATCAGATTTTTTTCGTAATAGATACAAACTTAATTCTTTCGCCATTCGATTCCCCATGAAATTTGCTATAAACGCACAGATCTTTTTTTCGAATTATTTTGGCCATAATGCTTATCGGTAGTTTGAAGAGACTGAATCCCTTCCTCGGTTACTAACGTGACGACTGGTATTTAAACTTTGCAACCGGTGGTATAGTTCTTAGAAACTTACGTGTCAACTCCAGGTGCCTTAAGTGTTGTAAGATCTTGCACTCAAATCGCTCCAGTCTCAAATAGTAGTCAGAAAGTCATACTTTTACAGTTTTGCTTTTTGTTAGATCTTTTTATTCGTTTGCTTTTAGATTTTTTTGTAAAAAATGGGAACCATAAACGATATATTACCGTCAGAATTATTGTATGATATTTTTGTACGTTTGGAGTTTTCATCATTTGAACAATTGCTGGCTGTTTCCAGTACGTGCAAATTGTGGCGACGGCTTATCTTTGATGAATGGTTCTTGAACAAATATTTTGCGTTTAATCATCAAAAATATCTCATTGGATATTGGAAATTTGATGAAGGTCACGAGCATATCGGAAAAGATTCAAGTGCTATCATTGAAAAGTCTAATATAAGTGTTTGGGGTAAGCCAACAGTAGAAAATTGTTTTATTGGAAACTGTGCCGTGTTTGATGGTCGGTCTTCGATTGACATATCTGTTTATGATAAATGTGAATATCATACTGACATTTACAGTGTGTCTCTGTGGCTCTTTTATGATCCCTGTGCGGATGGTGTTAGTCGAACAGCCATAAGTCTATACGAATATCGTCAAGCCTGGTTACAACTGTCTATGTTTTTTCAACTCGGATCAATATATGTACAAAATAAATGTCGTATAAGTGATGGACAATATATGTGCGATGGAGCAACATCCGAAGTTAAACAAGAAGAATGGTTTCACGTGGGTAAGGCTTATACTAGCATAGGAGATCTTCAATGAAGCAAGGAGCAGACACAGCATATGTTGTACGTCGTAAACTGTAGCAAAACCAGTCTAAGCATTTTGCCATTTTTTGAAATTGTCTTATTTCATCCATATGAAGAGCAGTGAAAGCGGATATAGGGACTTTTGTGACTAATACAAAAAGTTTGCCAGGCACTTTAATCACGTCCAGTTGCAAATACCTCACACAGTCTACTGTCCGTTCAAAATACATTTTTGGAACTCTTTGCAAAAGCAAATATTGCTGCGAGACTCAGCATGATCCATTACCTATAGTCCGTTGACTTTCAGGGCTACCAGTAGTCACCAGATGCCAGTCCTAGGACCCGTAGGAAATCCGGTGTGACGCCAGAGCTGTGGAAAATCTAGGTCTCATGTGATTCCTGTTTTTAAGAGCACATCCCAGGCTACCAGCCCATGAAAAAATTCAACATAATCCTATTGGAAAATCTGGTTTCCTGGTTCTTCTCTTTTGCATAGCGAAAACCGAGATTCTCCAACTTCTTTCTATCAAAAGTTATTCTAAAAATATCCACTGCTCTTGTATTTTGAAACGGATAGTAGTAATAGTAACAGCTAAGACTGCAGCTTATTGATATATTTTCCCCTCTACTTCACGTTAGAACCAGCAATACTTTACGCACTGTTCTGCGGCTTAGTCTTCTGACATGGCTTTTGTTGTTTTCATTGTGATTGAAAATGTCTGGGAGCTGCTTCAACCCCCTGTTTACGATCGACATTTTACATATGGTCCAACTGTTTGACTGTGGGAAGTCGATATAGCGATTATAGTATTTTCTGTTTAGTTTTATGTTTTAATCGTAACCGACAACAACTGTGGATAAATGGAAAATTAGTAAACGAAAGTGATATGTCAGCGCGAAATCGACTGCGACAAAAACCTACACTGTTAAATTGGTCCGAATTACCGCGTGATATACCGTTTAATTTTCATCTGGGGTCAGCCGACCAGCAACATTCGCAACGATGGAAAGGAAAACTAGCTGATGTAGTCGTATTGAGTCGATGGTTGAAACCCATTGAAATAAGAGCTATATATACGCAGAAAGTTGCTTTCGATAAACTAAATGTAGGAACATATTTGTTTAAAGACGATAAATAATTTATTTGTATATTTCTTACCTTTGGAAGTTCATGTAAACAGTGTTATTGTAGGGGATTCTCTTGTAGACGCAGTGTCGTTGCAACGGACACTGAGATAGACCAGAACTGACAATAAGTATTACCGACGAATTATTTTTATTCTGGCAAAAACCATACGATCGAATGCAGTTTTTAGTTAATTAATAAGCTATTTTAGAATTTTTTGACTCAGTCATTCGGCGACTGAAGGCAACAAATCCTCAGACAAGACTTTCATAGCTTAATTACAACAAACTTTACTCGCTTTTTTGATGAAACCTGTTAAAGACAGCGAAATGCGGTGGCTTTTCGATGTTTTTAACTGGCAAGTTCGGATCATTCGTGGTCAACTTGAATTTTTTTTACCCGAATCAAGTTTTTTCTATGATCGAAATCGGACTCGAGTAGTGCTGCAATCTGATTCAGTTCCTGCTTCCGGAACGGCTACAGTGTGTAGATAACGCTTTTTTGTGTGTTAGTTAAAAAGCGGACAGATATTTTGTTATATAAAAAGCAACACCTTTCGAATTATTTAAAGAAAAAACATAGTGCTTTTATTGTAAATTTTTCTATCTTGTCTCGCAAAAGCATGGACATATTCATGGAATCCTCTACATTTTGCTATTGTATAATGGAGAATGGCTGACCTTTTGCGTTCTTTATCTAAACTAGCGTAACAGAAACGGATTGATTTCAAAAGATGAGCCATGAAGTACCACTCACGCAGATACAAACATTAGCAATCAGAAAGATGTGTTGTTGGTCAAAAGATGAAGAGAGATTTTACTTTTTGTTTGTTCGATTTGTATATAAGTGGTTATGTTCTGATATTCAATGACTTTAGGGTTTTTTCCTTTTTCGTTAGATTTGTACAATGTTCATCATTAACGCCCAACTTGTATCATAAGTTGGTATCTATATCGTTGCTATGTCAGATCACATGTTCCACTGGAAGCTGTGATCATCTTTCACTATCGTCATGTGGTAGTATCTGTTGGAATTCGATCTTAAATCGAAATAAATGTATGCACAGTCTTTTCAAATCCTCATATTTAATTCGACAGATCCTCTACAAAATGGTAAATACCGCAGTGGAAAAGTTTAGAGCTCCCTTACACTTGGATTGGGTAGGGCTAAGATTTTGTTTGACAAATCCGAATGAATTATATCGTCACTAACAAGGTCACTGAACACTGAAGGCAGTCGTTATGCTGCTATGAGATTTTGAAAAATGGTGATTTCATCTATGATTTATATAAAAAGATAAAATAAATGAAAAAATCTCAAAATTTTCGATGGGTAAGACCAGGGCTACGATGCCACAGGAGTAGGACTCAAAAATTTTCCACAGGGTGGAGCCAGAGATCCGGAAACAGCTACCCTGCACATCTTAGCACCGCAGGTCTCTAGCATGTTTCGTTATCGAGATATTTGAAAAATAGCCATTTTCATTCTTTTTTTTCACCGGGAGTTAAACTCCCTTATAAAGCAGCATCTCCCATGAGTAAATGTCCTCGCGAGCAACCGTCCTAACACCCGGTTTCGAAAAATGTCATGAGTAATTTAAACGTTTCTTTTTTTTTATGTCTGATTTACGAAGCATACTTTAAAAAGAGCATAAATAAAAAGTCAAGCCACTGCATCAAAATTTTGAGTCTCATAGCATATTGACAAGCACGACATGTTATCGACAAACTCATTTGATTTTATATTCAAAGTTATCTATAACAGCAAATTGATATAAAACTTTTTTATTGGAAAAAGAAAGAAACGGAAAACAAAAAGAGAAAAGTCACAGCAAGATCTTGCAGTACATTGTTCAATGGTTAATTCTGACGAGGAACATCCTACAACCGAGAAATTCAATTTTTCTTCTCAGATCAACCAGATAAACGCGTCTTCTACAAATGGATTATTTCTTAAAATATCAGAACAAAAGTTTTCTTGCGTTTTTTACTGTTTACTATATACGAAGTTGAGAATATTTAGTTAATCTTTTATTTCCTTTTGCTTCGTAGTTTTATTAGTGTTTAACTAAATGTTTCGATTAATTAAAATCTTCATCATTCATGAAAGAAATGTCTATACGAGGAGATGGTTAGAATTACTCATTGACCAAACAACAGAAAACTAGTGTTACCACATTCATGATCACCAGTGATTGCGCAATGGGTTAAGAGAGGTATGGGAGTTATTTACAACAAGAAAGATAAAAGTAAAAATGAGATAACGAGAAAGTTGAGAATGCAGTGTTGAGAACAGTAAATCCCAGATATGATCTGAAAAAAGTTGATTATCATAAATAAATAAATAAGGAAAAACTTTCTTCTATGGTATTTTAATATTTATTATTTGTGATATTCCAATACAGACACATATTTGACACAGAACCACACTTGGTAAAAGACAAATGACATACCATATATCGATCCTACCAAAAATAACTTTATTTTCTCTCTCTCTTTCTCTCTTCGAGCGAAAAATTATACCCACGAAACCACACATGTGTTTAGAGCATCGCTATAGAAATTTCTGAACTCATATATAAATACCATGTCTTGCCCTACGAGATATATGATACATTCACTTAGAAAATTTTCTAACTTTTCCTCTTACTATATATATATATAACGGGTGATTCAGAAATAAACGGACTTTTTTAATTTTGCTATAACTTTGTCAGTTTTCATCCAATCGATTTCTTTTTTTTTAAATTACATTCCCGTTGAAATTCTCTACAAAATCATAGCTAAATTATAATTTCAGAACTTCAATCAAGAAAATTAAGCCAATTAGACGAAAGTAGAAAAAAATGTAAACTTTCTAAACTCAAAAATGACTTCTTGTGTTAACGTTTCGAAAGTAAGAAAA